TCGTCTTATATATTTGTTAATCAGGAAAAACAGCCTCAGAAGCCATGGCCTTTGGATAGGATATGGTCATTCGAGAGTTCCTCAAAATTTTTTGGTAGTCCTATGTTAGATGCCGTATTGAATAATTCTCCACTGGAGCGGGAAATGGTGATTTGGTTGAAGAATAGACCCGCCATATTCCAAGCCATGTGGGATCGATGACCTTCGACCAGTTGACGGTACTAATTTAACACACTTATTTGCTTGAAAGGGGTCCAATTATTAGTTCGGGGATTCCTCTCCCTCAAGTGGTCAGTGGTAGCTACCCGCCTCATCATCTTCATTCTTGTGTACAGTCTTTTTCCTCCATTTTGCTTGTGTAATTTGTAAGTCACATTAGGTCATAGAAAAATTTTCCTCTCTTGTTCTTAATGTTCTAAGCTTAGTTTAATTCAAACGATTAATTTTAGTTAATAGAAAATTAAATTAGCCAGCCAATTTTTCTATAGCAGTTCATCGTGTAGCTCTTTCTTTTCCTTTTTATTAGTAATACTAGTGTGGTAGTGGCATCGCGTTGAATATTTTAAGCGTTTGATTCTCCTATATAAATTTCTTTCCACGTGCTCAAGGTTTGGAAGGTGTAACATTTTTGTAAGTGTTATGTAATTTTATAGTGTGCATATATATATATATATTTGTTGATTCAAAAAAGAAAAAAAAGATGGAGGTGCTTGAGCCTGGCAAATCTTGTGAACGTGAAAAAAAAAAAAAAAAAAAAAAAAAAAACGTGTGGACGTATTGTTTTATACACTTGGGTGTACCGTACACCCATGAGTATTTTGATCTTATTTTAATGATTGTTTTTCATTTAATCATCAAATGAAGAGTAAAATTTAACCTTGGGTTAGCTGGGTGTACGATACACTTGAGTGTATATAACAAATTCTAGAAATTTTGAATGTACCAAGCACAAATTTGAGGATAAAAAAAGTGGATGAGCCAATAAAAATTGCGGATTCGCATGTTAGAAATTTAAGATAAACACAATGATAACTCTACATGTAAAGACATTATTCTGGATAATAGAAGAATTATGCATGATTTATCATACTTTATATTCTTGCAAGTTTTGTAGGACGATTTCCCTCACAGTTGCTTAAAAATAGAATAATTCCCTATTTGTGTGGGTTTTAAAACTAGTTCCCACCATATTGTCTACGTAAGCTTGGTGGTAGTTTCGTTATTTTTTTTTTAATTCTGGTTGAGTGAAGAATCGCTAACGGTGATAGCGGTTTTATTGTATAGAACTGCTATTACCATTAACGCTTAACGGTTCTTCTAATTAAGGAAGTGGAAAAAATTTAAAAGTATGATAGCGATTCTTCTATTACCGTTAGCGCTTAGCGGTTTTATTGTATAAACTGTCATCACCGTAGCGGTTTTTCTAATTAAGGAAGTGGAAAAAAAATTATAAATGTGATACATTTTAATTAGAAGAACCGCTAACGGTGAAAGCGATTTAATACAATAGAACCGCTATTACCGTTAGCGGTTCTTCACTAAACCAAAATTTATAAAAATAAATAAATAAAATAACAAAGCTACCACTAATTCCTACCATACTAATCCTACGTGGACAATATGGTAGGAATTAGTTTTTAAACCGACGCAAATAGGAAATTATTTTATCTTTATGCAATTTTGAGGGAAATCGTTCAAGTTTTGTATCTGTTACGCACTTGTATTAATGATTGGAAAAATGAAGAAAAGTCTCATAATTATATACACTCGGGTGTAAAGTGCATTTAAGGTTATTTTATAATACAAATTTTCTTCTTGTTTTGAATTTTTTCTTTTTTTGGCCATTGATTTGTAAATTTACCCTGATGGTGGTAGTTTAACTTTGATTTGCAATTAAATAAACAAGGGGTATGGAGTTATCAATTCTAATCAAGGGTGATAACAACTAATTTAGTTCGTTTTTGCATTCTTGGCCAAGCTTAGATCTCTCCTAAAATGTCTCAAATTACAAGGAATCCAATTTATTTTAAAACTAATAATTTCTAAATTTTATTAACAATAACAAATGTATTTATAAGACATATATCCCACATCAACTAGAAAAGTAAAATAATCCCAAACATGTATTACGAGATGATAAAATTAGAACTCTTATCCTAACTCTAGCTAAACACATGCCTAACCTTTAATGCTCCTAGTTTTTTTACTTATTTGGAAATAATACTAAGGTCTTGTTCACTTTCCCTCAAAAAAATAAAATTAAGTAAAAATAATTTTAGTAAGAAAATTAGTTCAGTTCAGTAAAAATACTTTAAGTTCAGTAAAAAATAATTTCAATTCATTAAAATTCTGTAAATTTAAATAAGAAAATATAATAGAAAATCAGTAAAAATAATTTCAGTTTAGCAAAAATAATTTCAGTTTAGTAAATATTAATTTCAATTCAGTGAAAATAATTGGGAAATTATCAATAGTACACCTAAGGTTTGGGCCTTTATCAATAGTACACATGCTAAACTATTGTTTATCAGTAGTACATGCAAGGTTTTATACTATTATCAGACGTACACCTACCGTTAGACAAACGTTAAGAAAACGTTAGTTTTGGCTTTTTTAACTTAAAAACTGACACGTGGCGGCCTGTGTGGTCCAAAAAAATAAAAATAAAATAAAATTTTAAAAAAAGTTAGATTAATAAAATAAGATAATTTTTTTAATTTTTAAATTTGACAATTTTTTTTAAACAACATTATTTTATTTTTTTTTTCCTTTTTTTTCCTACCTCCTTCCTTTCTCTTTCCTCCATCCTTCCTCCTCCTCCATAACTTCCAGCAGCCAACCAGACATCCCACCCCCCTCTGACCACCCTTCCCCTTCTCTTTCCTCCTTCCTTTCTCTTTCCTCTTCCCTTCCACCACCATAAATTAAGACTCCCCAGCTCAGTACACGCTCTCAGCAAACTAACAAGAGTAAACTCATTAGGTTTCACTCCTTCAACCTGCATTTGGGAGAACAACTCGAACGCCTCTTGAGGCCTCCCATTCGACACATACCCATTGATCATAGCAGTCCAAGAAACCACATTTCTCACAGGCATTTGATCAAACAGTTTTCTAGCACAATCCAACTCCGCAAACCCAACCAAACCCGAAACCATCGTAGTCCAAGACACAACATTTTTCACAGGAATTTCGTCGAACACCTTGCGTGCACACTCTAAACTCCCACATTTCAAGTACATATCCAAAAGGGTTATTCTTAACAAACAAATCTTTACAATAAAACCCTTTATCAGGTGGTACCCCAGCACATATCATAAGATTGTACAAAATGAGAGACTTTGAAGAAGAGTTGATTGTATGAGCTCTGATGATGAGATTCCAGGAGAAGGTTGAAGGAGATTGAATTCGATGGAAGATTAATAAAATAAGAAAAATTAAAAAAAAATTATCTTATTTTATTAATCTAACTTTTTTTTAAATTTTATTTTATTTTTATTTTTTTAGACCAATCACAGGCCGCCACGTGTCAGTTTTTAAGTTAAAAAAAGCCAAAATTAACGTTTTCTTAACGTTTGTCTAACGGTAGGTGTACGTCTGATAATAGTATAAAACCTTGCATGTATCGTTGATAGACAATAGTTTAGCATGTGTACTATTGATAAAGGCCAAAACCTTGGGTGTACTATTAATAATTTCCTAAAATAATTTAAGTTCAGCAAAAATAAAATGAAGTAAACGGGGCCTAACTCTGTTAACCATTAAACCATACGTAACTTTCGGATTAACGTATGCATTCTCACGAATAATTTATGACTAGCAAAATTAAAGAAAGCAATTAAACTTGATCATGAGCTTGAATGTTTTGGAACCATACAAAGTAGCCAGTAGTTTATAATTGATAGGATTTAAATAATACACGGAGATATACCTACTTAATTTAGCTTTCAAGGTGTGGAAAAAAATGAACAAATATCATAAAGTTAAGATTGAATATTTAAATAAAAAAAATATATAAAAAGGCCTAATTCACCAAGTTTATAATTCAAAATCAATCAATTCAATCATCAACAATTAACTAATTAGTATATTTTCTAGAGCAATTTTAATGTCTAATTAGGTCAAATCTTAAAACTAATTCAACACATGTTATCCAGTCGATCATTTAATCATGATTAATAGTTGTAGGTCGTATACCCCTTAGACTTCTAGTAGATATAATCTTTCAATTTTAGCTCTTTTTACAAAAACCTAATCAAGCAAGTGATTAGATTGCAAAGATTAACAATATAAACCTAATCTATTGAATATATCAAAGATTGAGCAAACCACAAATTAACAATAAGTCTTGTATAAGACGGACTTACGCTTATTTATTGTAAGATGGTCAACTTAAGGGTAATTTTAATAATTTTTATGATAACTTTAATCCCTTTAAGTGTAATTTTTAATTTGTAATGATTTTGATTATATTTTAATGTGTAATTTATAAAGGATACATGCTATGATGGCAATATAATTACTCTAATACAATATAAGTATTTTCTAAAGGTAAAATTTATGTTAGAAAAATGGCAACTTTATTTGTATAAGCATGGAATAATTGATAAAACTAGATCTAAAAAACAAAAACATAACTTTTAACAAATTGAATGAAATTAAATTTAGAAGCTCAAAAACAAATAAACAATTCATGAAAAATTGTTCAAGAGATAATACTATGGCAGGTTTCTATGGATATAATGTTGAAGTTATTTTCATAGTTTTATTTAGTGAACATTTTTATATGGTGATTCAATGGGATCCTTATGTGTGGTTCTAACTGAGTCATAAATTACTAACAATCCAAATTACTCATATAGAATTCAGATTATTGCTAAACCGACTTGAAGTTTCAATAAAATTTCAACAAAAGAAAAATAATTCCGGTCCATCTAGCCAAGGAAGCTACGGCCACGGGTGTGAAATTTGTTTACAAAAATTCCAAAAAAAAAAAAAAAAAAAAAAAAACAACCTTATGTATGATAGTGCCTAATTCAACATCATGCGTTTATACTTAATAGATTGTCTAGGAGATATCATAAGTACCTAAAAAAATGGAGATAAGCTTATGACATGGTTAAGACCTGGATAAGACCGGACTTGATTAAGAGTTAATGAGTGAACCTAATAAATTCTCTGCTTTTTTTTATTTTTTATTTTATAAGTTGACACATTTTTTTTTCAAGTTTGTTAATGTACTATGATTAATATCTCTAATTACAATAAGTAAAAACTATTAAAAAAAATTGATATTTATATAAGCTCCTACACAACTATGTATATTTAATGAATAATGTCAATAATCAAAACTCAAAACGTGTTAATTTTAAAAAAAAAATAATAATGAAAAAGCATGAGCATGAATTTGAGCAAAAACAAGAAAAATAAATAACCAACATATTCAACCCACTAATTATCAAATTCGACCCAACTCGACTCAACAGCTTAAGTAATAACCCATATTTACACAACTATTACACGTGTTAAGCCACAAAAAGAGGATGGTAAATTGGTGATGTTAAATTGTTAATCCAAAGACGTGTATACAATTGTCATCTCGTGTACATGCATTTCACGATTATTACTTCATATTATAAGTTTATTACTACTAATCTTTAACTATTTTTGGCAACAATTTTAATTTACTACCCATCATAATAACAAACCCTTTCTTCGTGCGCGACATTCACTTTACATAAAATCATCATTTGATTCTTTTCTCATAACTTTCATTTATTACGAAACAGATTATCTGATTATATGTCCTCCTTAAATACCAATTTTACCCCTACCAAACTCATTCACCCTCACAATTCTCAGGGGTAAATCAGTCTTTTCAACTCCCTCTGCAAAATTCTGTAACAAATCGTACCAACTGCAAATCTCAGCCTTTTGTCGTCTTTGTCCGGACAAACACGAGCTAACATCATTTCATCCCATCCGTCCGATCTCACAGTACACATCCCAATCTAACGGCTCAGATTTCATCCCCTCGAAAACAAATTAATTTCAAATTTAAATCAAAAACATTTTGACAGCAAAGCCGCCTTTTCCAAAATAATCCCTCAGCTAATCAAATATTGACACGTGTCCACCCCTTTCTCTTAAAATTACCGGCAATTCACTTCTTCTTCATACTCACTATCACTCTTTCTCTCTCTTCAACCCATTTTCTCTCTCCTCTCTGAAAATGGAGATTTCCGAGGTTTCCTTCTTATCTCTGTTAATGGCGCCTGAAACTTCCTCGAATGAAGATCAATTCTACGATGATTCATCACCTCAAAATCTCAGTACCTTTCTTCCGACACCTTCAATGGCGCCGATTTCTGATCATGACTACCATTATTGCAACAACAACAACGATAATCTTCTCTCTCCGATTCCTGAGTCTTACCTTCTTCCACCTCTTCTTCCGCCATTAATGTCGCCGGAGTTTTCTTCAGCCTTACCAAATCTTCTCTCCTTCGAGAACTTTCCTCAGCTTTCTCCATTTTCTTCATATTCACCACCACAACAACCGCCACAAATTCAATTACCGCCACCTCCTCCGCCGCCGCGTCAATCGCAGAGAGATGACTACTCGCTAGACTCAATCCTTGAGAATTACTTCGAAATCTCAAAGCAGAAGAGAAAATCATCGTCGTCGGCGGCGGCGGCGGCGACGGAGAAGGCGGCGGTGGTGGCGCGAAGGCAGAGGAGTAACCGGAGGAGTAAGATGAGTGAGAAAATCTACTGCTTAGGGAAGCTACTACCAGGAGGTCATCGACACCGGAAGAACACGGCGGATATGTTGGAGGAAGCGAAGAAGTACGTGAAGTTTCTTCAAGCGCAAGTTAACTCGCTGCGGACTATGCCGAGTGAGTCGAGGTTTACGGAGTTGAAACTTGGATTTGGGGACTTAAGAGGAATTGGAGAGCTGGCAAGACTGAGTAGACAGCAGTTGTTGCAAGTGGTGGTGAACTCGCCCGCGGCGCAGATGGTTATGGCGGATAGAGGATGGTGTTTAGCGACGGCGGAACAGGTGGCGATGATGAAGAGGATTGAGGCTAGGCAGAAGGTTATTCAGCAGTTCATGCATAATCTTCCACTCTGAAATGAATTAAAAAAAAAAAAGACATATAATCCTTTGAAATAGAAGTTACCTAGTACAAGAGTTGTATTGAAAATTTTGGAGTTAATTTTTGTAAATCAATCAATCGTAGTAGATATCTTCACTATGGGTTTTACAATTTTAGTGTAAGAAATGATCTCATGGATGGATGGCTAATGAAAATGGAAACTTAATTGAATTATGTTATATTGTCAACGCACAACTTTAACGAATAATATCTTTTGATATAAACAAATAAAATTATTATTTGGGTTTTTCTAATAAGTTATGCCCATAAGATAGTCGAGTTTCTAGGGTGTATTCATGTTTTTTTAAATTTCTAAGTTGTGCCCCTCAACTCATTACCATTAATGAATGGTACCCTTCTTGAGACTTCCACGTCACCTAAAGTTAACTATAAATTTAATAAAAAGATGATAAAAGGTAAGGAAATGATAGGAAAAGAAATCTTAGCCACCGCAACCCTAATAATGAAAACTGAAGCCATGAAATCACACTCTCAATTAACTTTTAAACAACTAATAAGGGTACATTTTAGTATTGATAAGCAGTTGAAGGGCACGACTTAAAAACTTGAAAAAGCATGGGTATACTTTAGAAACATGACTAGCTTAAGAGTATAACTTAGAAAAACTTATTACTATTATGAAATTATAAATTGTAGGGTTTTAAGTACGATTAGCCCGAATCATATTCTTAACATTTAATTGGTTTGCATGCTTATACATAATAGAAATTAAGTATAGGAATAGAAAATATAAACTTTGACGCGTGATTCCCAAGCTTTCTTCTTTCTCTTGTTGTAGAGCCAACTGCTCCTCTAGTGTTAGTCTACAAGCGCAAATCAAAACTCCATAGATTCTACTCCTTTTGTTTCGTAATAATCGTAACACTGACAACGACACCAAATTTTAGGAAAATCATACGATAGGAGACAAATAGGGAATTTTATAATATTAAAATTAGTTAGTGGAATATATTTAATTATTAATAGGAGAGAGAAATAATTACAAAAAATTAGTGTGACTGGTGTTGGTAGCAGAGTAAAATAATAAAATAATAGTGGAGCCTCATAAATCTTAGAAAGATCCACAATGTTTTCTTGAAATGTATCTCCACTAAATCTACATCACATTACACGGAGTAAATCTTAGTAGATACACAATGAATTTTGAGTTTCAATTAAGAAGGTATATCCTTGATAAGCGGCACGTTTTGTAATACTCCATTCGTTCCTAAATTATTGACACACTTATCTTTTGGGCCGTTCCTGAATAATTGACACATGACTAAAAATGAAAAGGACCCAATAATATGTAATTTTTTTTATTTTTTATTTTATTTTTTCTCAATCTCACACAATGGCTTACCACTTTTAAGGTCAATTAAAATAATCCTCACCCCCACTAAAACATTCCACTAATTTCTTGTTTTGACAGGTCCATATGCTTTATTTATATGTATAAAATAATATTTCACTAACTTCACTTTTCAATAAACAATTCAAGAAAACTACCCCACTCAAACATTTCTTGAACTCCATATACATTTTAATGTGTCAATTAGATGGGAATGGGGGAGTGAGTTATTGAGTTACACTAAAGTTTCCCCTATGAGGAAAGACCAATCAAGATTCTTATTAATAAAGTGCGTAGTACAGAGTACTTAATAGAAAATTCTCAATGGTAACCCCCTATTATTGTTAATTACATTGAAATACTTTTCTCACAAATAACATTAATGTGGTTAATTTGGTTTAAAATTAAATTAAACTAAGGTTAGCAAAAACAGAAAAAGACATTAATGCCCCCAATAACACTTCTTCAGTGTAAAACCCCAATCACCACCCTTACCTGAGCCCTAAAACCCAACCCTCACCCATCTAGGTCCCCCCTGGGAAATCCCTAAGAAAACCCCTTTCCCACCGCTTAAAAATCCCTCATATTTTCAGTTTTAGTTGAATTCTAAACTTGTTTTACTTATCCTGGGCAATTGTTGACCCTTGATAAGGTAATAAATTGTCTTTATTTGCTAGTTATGAGTTAATATGATTTTTAATTTAAAACATAGACTATAAGAAAAGGAAAACGAACGATTCAAACCCTACCTGCCTATGGCATTGTAGGTTGGGTCACATTTACCAAAAACGCATCTAGAAATCACAAAAGGATGGACTTCTCTCATTATTCGATCATGAATCATTTGATAATTGCAAATCATGCTTATTGGGTCAGATGCATGACCAAGTCACATTTTACAAAAAAAGGTGAAAGAGCTAATGATCTTTTGGCACTAATATATACAGACATTTGTGAGCCTATGAGTTAAAAAACTAGAGGTGGGTTTAACTAATTCATTACTTTCACTGACAATTTAAGTAGATATGGTTATGTTAACTTAAAGAAGCAATCAAAAGTCGAAATCCTTTGAAAACTTCAAAGAATACAAAAGGATGGACTTCTCTCATTATTCGATCATGAATCATTTGATAATTGCAAATCATGCTTATTGGGTCAGATGCATGACCAAGTCACATTTTACAAAAAAAGGTGAAAGAGCTAATGATCTTTTGGCACTAATATATACAGACATTTGTGAGCCTATGAGTTAAAAAACTAGAGGTGGGTTTAACTAATTCATTACTTTCACTGACAATTTAAGTAGATATGGTTATGTTAACTTAAAGAAGCAATCAAAAGTCGAAATCCTTTGAAAACTTCAAAGAATTTTAAGATAAAGTACATAATCAACTTGGCAAGACAATCAAAGCACTACAATCTAATCGTGGCGGTGAATATTTGAGCTAAGAGTTTGATGATCATCTTAGAGATTGCGGAATTCTTTCACAATTAACTCCTCCCGGAACACCACAATTGAATGGTGTGTTAGAAAGAAGAAAATAAGCATTAATGGATGGTTCGATCCATTACGAGTCTTACGGATCTTCACATATCGTTCTGGGGATATGCTCTCAAAACAACTGCAAATATATTAAATAGAAGCCCGTCAAAAGCAGTAAAAAAGACTTCATATGAGTTACGGACTGAAAAAGTTCCAAAGTTATCTCTTCTAAAGATTTGGGATTGTGAAGTCTATGTAAAACGTTTACAAGGAGACAAACTAGGACCCAAATCTTACTAATGTTTCTTTGTAGGCTACCCAAATGAAACAAAGGGGTATTACTTCTACAATCTCAAAGAAAAACAAGTGTTTATTGCTTGCGATGTTGTCTTTTTAGAAAAGTAATTCATTTCTAAAAAGCTAATATAAGTAGGAGTAAAGTTATTCTCAAAGAAATTCAAGGCGAGCAACAATGGATGTGGATCCAACCACGTCAAAGGCAAGGGCGTGCAGTGTGAGTCTAATCAAATGACAAATCATGCGTCGGAGCAAACTAATTCAACTAGCGAAATTTCTATTGTCCCACTTGAATCTAATTCGTGCGAAAATCTTTAAATAGTTGGAGAGAAAAGTTCCGTTGTTGCTCCAACCCCACGTAGGTCTAATAGAATAAAAAATAAATAGTTTGTTGATGTTTTGTCAACGAAAGATTTTGAAATGTTTCTAATAGAATGTGTGGAACCTATAACCTATAAGCAACGTAACCTTTGGTGGGCCCTAACTCTGATGGCTTGAGGGCATGAAATATGAAATGGACTCTATGTTTGAAAATGGTGTTTGGACTCTAGTAGAATGACTTGCTTGATGGGGTACACCACTACTACAAAATTGAGCTTAAGTAACACCCACTGGTAACACTTTAAAAAAATTTCATGATTGTTTGATTTTTACGTAACCCTTTAGTAACATTGTGGTATTAGGTAACATTTTTTGTAACACTTTAATATTAGGTAACACTTTATTGTAACACTTTGATATTAGGTAACACTTTATTGTAACACTTAATTTTTTTTTATCTATTATTTTTTTGTAAGAAAACACTTAATTTAATATGCTCAATTTTTTTTTAACTAAAATCAACCCTCACAGTCACAACCTCACGACTTTCTTCCCCCTCGTATTTCTCCAACCCTCAATTAAGCTTTGACCGTCTCTTTACGCTGCACCTCCTTACCTCTGCTTCCACCGCAATCACCTTCTCAGAAATTAAATCAATCAACCTTTCCATCGATTTTCATTCACCATTGACAACGAAGCTCGAAATCAATGGAGGACATTATCTCTCCTTCCGATAAGCAGGTCATGGTCTCCAAATTCCTCGAGATCGCTGTTGGCCAGAGTGCCGATACGGTCCGCCAATTCTTGTAGGTATTTCCCCTAATTTCTACTTATTTTTTTTTCTTCAATTTCATAAATAGGGTTTTTTTCACTGCAATGCTTGATTTGATGATCGCTGCACAATCAATTTTGTATTCTGAAAATTTTGTTTGCGAAGTGTAAAATCGATTTAGAGTGATGGCAACTCAGAAATTGCGCTGCATTTATTGGTTAGTGTGATGAACTGCGGAACTTGCTTTGAACTTGTTGCCAGTAAAAATTGTGTGGTGTGATTGCGTAAGACGTTTATTTATTGATGCTTGTAATGTAGTTCAATCAATTTAGCTGATGGTAATTTCATGCCACCCCCCCCCCCCATTGATTGATTATTTCTTGGAGTCGAGGGCTGTTTGGCATGACATAGTTTGTCGTAATTTCTCCATTTTTTGTTGTCAATCGAGAGGTAATTTCATGCCCCCCCCCCCCCCCTTTATGTATACTTTTTTTCCTGATTTTTACATTTGTTGGATTAATCAATCTAATTTCTTGCTTTGAACAAGTTGGGTGATGAATATTTAACTTCGTGATTTGAATGTTGTATAGGTTTTAATTCCTATTCTGAAACCAACTGGATACACCAGTGCTGATCCTTATAAAATGTAAGCTTAATCTAACCTTCAATGCTTTTTTACTAGCTATTTTATGTTTCTCGAATTTTTTTGCTTGCTATTTCAATTATTGAGCATTGTTTTAGAAATTAGGATTCTGGTGAGTTTCATTGGTGTTGTTTAAGTGCAATTAAGCCCTTTTCTTTCAAGTAGCTGTAGAATTGGATTCTATGAGCGAAATCGGGTAGATAAATGGCTAATAAGGTTTTGGGTGAGGCCAAAGTAGTGAATTGTATTCTAATTTATCACCAAAAAATTTAATAATCAGCAAATCATCTTGGTTAGTAGACAGGAGGCAACAAGGTGGCTTATACTTGATTGTGCAGGAAGCTTGCACACACTTTTAAAAGTCAGAAGTTAGGATGAGTGTCAAGCTCATAGATGAACTTCTGTGGTTTAGATGTTTAAAACATGTTATTTGGTAATTGCTTTTAAAATTGTTATTTGGTGATTTAAGGTTTCCATTAAATTAATTCATATAAAGATCAGTATCAAGCTCATAGATGAACTAATAGGGTGATCATGTGGTAATTGCTTATAACATTCAGTATTAAAGGGGAAAAGAATGAGAGAGGATCTTTGTTTTACAATGGAAAATGAGAATTAAAGATAAGATTGAAGTCAATGTTATTATATTGGACAAAAGATTAAGGGGCATTGTTGCAAACCTTCCTAGCATGGTCAATCTCAATTTGATTCCTAGACCTTTTTATAGATTAATATTCTTTAAAGATATGACTTTTTTTAAGTTGCAGTGTGGGTAGTGAAGTTCTGATCAAATGTTCTGTAGATAGTTGCATGAATTATTGGTAGTTTTGCTTTCCTTTTCCTTTTATTGGTACATGGATTTAATTCTTAGTTTCTTACAAGAGTTGCTGCTACTGTAGTTTGATGACAAGGTTGCTTTATTTAATATAGGTGAATATTCCATTTGAATTGGCTAATATATTAGAAGCTTGCTATTGAGCATTTTTCCCTAGAATGTCTACTATTTACTTGATGCTATGTAAGAGGGCAGAGTGTTTAGAAAAAAAAATTATGTAAGAGGGCAGATATATATATGAAGCATTATTTTACTCTTAGATTATCAATTTACTACTTTTTTCAACTCTCATTGTATTTACGAATGCTCTTCCATTTATGAGCAGGGGAGTGAGAACCATGAGATAGAGCATTGGAAGTTCAGAGACAATGGAAACAAATTTTTGTTAAAACATGCTTGCATATATATATATATATATATATATATATATATATATATATATATATGTAGCAACCAATGTCACTATTATTCTTTCTGCTGTTACAGATGTCTACTGTTGTTGCTGATGCCTGTCGATGTCACTGGCTCACTACTATCTGTTGCTACTACAGTCTGCTGGCCTGGTACTGCTGACTGTTGTTACTCCAAGTTGCTGCTACCTAATGTTGCTGCTAGCTGGTATTACTGCTAGCCTGGTACTGCTGACTATTGTTGCTACTAGTTGCTGCTATTGAAAATAATAATAATAATAATAATAATAATAATAATAATAATAATAATAATAATAATAATAATAATAATAATTAACAAGGTGTTACATTAGTTTGCAAAAAGTGATACATAAGTCGGATAAAGTATTACTATATGTCAAAAGATGATTGAAAAATGTTACCTAATTATCAAGAAGGCGTTACATTAGTTTGAAAAAGTAATACAAAATGTCGGATAAAGTGTTACTATATGATTAAAAATGTTACTAAAGGTAAGTAAGTGTTACCTACGAAATAAAAAGTAACACTTTAAAAATGATACTAAATATATAAAAAAGTGTTACATAAGAGGGTTTTTAGTAACACTTTTAAAAGTGTTACTGTAGACATCTAAAAATGTCTCCTCAAAACCAAACCCGATGAATAACAACCTTTCACCGCCACTATTGGTCAGATCGAGTATTTAATTTCGGGAGTGCAAAAAATTTATATTCAGTCGAACACGGCTTACAAATCAGTCAACATATCAGTTCAAGTATTTGGTCAAAGCATAGTCCAACCCTCATTTTAGCCCAAACCATTTCAATCTATTTCTTTATATTTATTAATTAAGCCCGATTAATAAATATTAAAACCCTAAGCCTAAAATAAGTCCGTAAAACTGAAACGACGGCTAAATTATCACGTGCTTAATTCTTAATTAAAAGATAAAATGAATTTAGACCGAATTCAGGAAAACCTATTTGCCGCGCCACAGTAGATTTTGACATGTCACGACAAACTGGTCGTGACACGACAATTTGCGCTGTGACACGACAATTTCTAGGGTTTTATCACGGCGCTTTTCATTTTTAGGGTTTCGTGCATCACCCTACTCATTTCCTTTATAATTACGAGGCTGATTTCTCAGTTTCAGGGCACCAAACAATTCTCTCTTTCTCTCTTATACACCAAAAATCATTCTCTCTTTCTCTCTTATGCTTTAGCCTAAACACTAGCCTCCCTTATTCTTTCACCGTACATCCCCTAAGCACTCCCCGGAGTCCGTACTTTACCCGAGGTTCTAAACTTAAACCAAGGGGTGAAAGGTATAATAGTTTAAAGGCTTGGCCCCAAATCAACTCTACTTTAATTTAATTTAAGTTCCATTGTTGTTTATTATTTTCCTTGAAGTTACTAACGCGTTTATTATTTTATAGTTGCAAGCAAAATCAATAAAAGTAAGGAATCATGCTCCTTTTATTCCTGTTATATTTCTAACGATTTTTGTTATGTTTTTCATATGCTAATCGTTATTTTTATGGTAATATTGCTTCTAATGTTGATGTTGATTTTTATTATATTTTATTGATCGCCGTATGACATGTTGAAAGGGAATATGTAATTGAATATAATGCCTAATAAGATAATTTGGACGACCGGTTTAGGATCCTTTTTAATCTTATTGTTTAATTGAAGTGATCACAATATTTTTAGAATTATGTGTTGCATTAACATTCAACCAATTTAACTTAATATTAGTTTGGAGAAAATTGAATATTTGTTTGTATGCCTTTGAGATCGCAGGAATTACTTTTCACAAAAAGAATCGAGTAGAGGCCAATACGGGCGAATATGACTCCATGACTCACTTTGTACTATCATCCCCGATCCTCCTTTCGTTGTTCAGAACCATATGGAGTTAGTAATATCATGCATTATGAATGGGGTGTAACCTTCACGGGTCAATCGTTGTTTCCTATCATTATCCCTTATTCGTGGTTGCCTTAAATGATCCGTGAACGATTTACAAGTTCCTTAAACACTTGTTGGCAGCTCCGTACTTTGATTTGTCCCTAATCGTGCCCATAATCATATGTCAATTCCCACTTCCTATGAGTGTCAAGCATATTCACAACATGCTTAACGTAGGCGCGCTTCGAAATGATGCCTACAGTTACCATACATTACCCAAAGTGTTACATAAGACCTTAGGTAACATGAGCGGATGTATCACCCACTAAAGTGTTACCTATTGTCTATAATACACTTTTACCACTTTATGTAGCACTTTTTGGGTGTTACTTAAGGTTAATTATGTACTAGTGCACCCAATCAATGCAAGTGGGAGTTTAAAATCAAAACAGACAAAGATAGGAATGTCTACATTTGCAAAAGGGTTCAGACAAATTCATGGTATTGACTATGATGAAACCTTTTCCTCAGTAGCAATACTTAATTATTTTATCCTAAGTCTAAAATAATAAATAAGATTAAAAGTATATTTGGCGCCAAAATTTGAATACACTTTTGACTCCAAAATTTAAATCACTAGTTAAATTACTAAAATACCCTTTTAAGAAAATAGTAATTAATTTACTAATTAGAAAATACTTATAAAAAATACAGGGTATTACATGGGTGTAGGGAATTTTTCAAACTCATCATTGACCCCTACTGTGGTTCATGTTTTTAGGCATGACGGCATTGCAAGGAAAAGAAGCTAGAGATAAAAGAGTCGCCAACAAGCTAAGTTTTAGGAACTTGTAAACCGTTCACGGCTGTGAAGGTTACACCCCATTCACGATCACGGAGATTACTAACTCCATAGTGGCCCGGAACCATGATTGGATGATTGGGGATGATGGTACGAATCCAACATAAAAGAGATTGAACACGCCCTAAATAGGCATCTACTCAATTCTTATGATATTCATGTGCGCTTTTCAATCAACATACATACATCAAATTAATCCTAAACTTGTTTAATACGTTAATTGATTATTAATGCACAATCAAATTATTAATTATTTTATTAGGCGTGATTTCAAATACAAATGACCTTTAAACTTGCAAAAAGGGGCATGATCAAACAATGATAATAAATCATGAATAATCCAGCAACATATGATTAACACAACAATCGTCATCATGATAACATTATCAAAACATCGAGTAGTAAGATCCTAGGAATGATATTAAACGGATTAATAACAAATCTTAGCATGTTACTAATAATCAAAATCGAAACGTTATCCTAAACATGATACTAGAAATCATAATCAACATCCTAGCATGTTACTAATAATCAAAATCAAAGCGTTATTCTAAACATGATACTAGAATTCATAATCAACATCCTAGTCATGATACTAGAAATAAATATAACATCGTAAACATGATACTAGAAATCATAATAAGCATCTTCATCGTGATACTAAAATCAAAATAATATGGTGAACATGATTTCTACTCTAAAATCAAAAGAATAATTTAGTAATCGAATTACTTACTTTGATGCCTCAACGTTCTTGTTATTAAAACAATACACGCGTTAGTAAACTTCAAGAAAGTTAAATCAATAAAGTAAAGAAATTAAATATGTATTGAAATAGAGATTTGACACCAAACCCTCAGAACTATTAACTTTTCACGCCGAGGTGGAAGGCAACATTAAGGATGGCTTAGAGTATTCGAATCTCGTGAATGAGGTATGGTGGATGATTTAGATGTATCAAAGATGTGTTTAGACTAATAACATGGATAATTGATAAGGATTGATGATGATTGGAGCTAGGTGGTTATAGCTAATTGTAGCTTATGATTGATGGTTCAAGCTAATTTGAAACGGGGAAAACAACCTCTATTTATAAGGAAAAATGAGAGTTTAGACGATAAGAAAAGATCAGAATTTGAATCGGAATAAAACAGGTTTAATAGTGGGGCGATAGAAGTGTCGCGACGCGACAGTGTCCATCACGGGGCGATAGACCTATTGCGGTGCGACAGTGTCTATCGCGCCGCGATATTTTCTAAAGATAAACATCTATACGGAATTTGATTTCCAACAGAATTGGGTTAACAAAATATATCCATACTTCTTTTAATTTGATTGGGATAGGATAAGGACTATTAAAAGGGAAGTTTTATTCGGTTTTGAACTCTTTTGATCTTTATCTTTTCGAAAAGGATAAACTAAAACCTTCTAGAGACTTCTAGAAGCTCCTAAGGAATCCTAATGTATTTAGGATTGGGAATAAGGTATTTGGACCCTCACATGATCATTAGGTCGTAGGTAAGGTGGACCTAGGCTCGGTTTGCGCTTGGTTTAATATTTTAGCCATCACTTATTCGTTTAAGTCGGATTTGGGCTTATAGTATATCGTTGGAATGCTCTTTTCAAGCCCCATCCAACTAAACAATAATTGTACTAGAATTATGGACCAAAATAATATGGTTTGGACGTTTTTATTGGTTGGACACGAAACGAATGATTTTAAGGACACTGAATGAATTATTTTGGGTTTAAAGACACGAAATAATTGACTTTTTGATTAAAATATTTTAGGAAAGATTAGGAATATGGTCAAGGCTTAAGAAAACTTCACGAGACTTTTCAACTCCTTATTGAACTTGTTAATCAAAGACGTGAAAGGTACTCATAACTAGGTTTGTTTCTGGGGAGACACGATTAGGTGTCTACAGAAGCCCCCACTTTGCCTGAGTTTGGAGAAACGTAAGTTTCGAAAACAAAAGTCAAAGTAAGTTGATAGGGACGAAGAATGGTTTAAAACATTCTGTGATCCTAAATCATCCTTTTTAACGCCGATACCTACAGAAAACGTTAGTTCTACAAACAAAGGAGTTAAGGGGAAAGAATCGCGTATCTAGGGGTGTTGACAATCCACTTTAGGAATAGTTGCCAACATAAATCTTAAATGATGAGCGACAATCCGGTTCAGGGAAAGTTGTCAATGCCACGTAACA